GTTGACAGAGAGGAGAAGGTAGAAATGACTCAGCCTGGAACTGAAAATATGGATGGAGGACAACAGTTTAGCTTGTTTGTCGTGCTAGCGCTGAGCTAATACTTATAAGGCAATATAGCGTGAGGGCTAACGCTAAGGCTAACAGGCTAAGCTGAGGTTGTTCTTCCATGAAGCAGCTCTGTTGTCCTCCATCCATATTTTCAGTTCCAGGCTGAGTCATTTCTACCTTCTCCTCTCTGTCAACGCTCTCTGGTTTCATTTAAAAGAGTCGATCATCAGATATTGTCCAAGATTAACCTTCAGGGTGGATATAGCTCGCTAGCAGCCTCGCACCGAGGACCTACCTACGTCATCATTTACCCAGAATGCTTTGTGTGTTAATAAAATGGCCCCATCCGTATAATACAGTTTTAAACTTTTAGTTTGAAAATGATAAAACCTAAGAGGCTACAGTATTTTTACAGTCTTTATTTTACAGTTAAAATAAATGTTTATTAAATAAAGTAAAAGTTACAATTAATCGTGGATCCCTAATGACTTCTTACCTTTTTTAATTGTTTTGTTTTTTGTTTTTGATCAGGTGTTTCAGGAGATCGAACCTCTTGTGACGTCCTGCATCGATGGTTATCATGTCTGCATATTTGCATACGGACAAACGGGGTCAGGAAAAACCTACACCATGGAGGTACAGTCTTTGGTTTTACTTAACAGATTTAAAAAAAATCTGTGCAAATTGTGCAAAGTAATTTGATATATGCTCTGAAATTAATACAGAAAATTCATCCAGCAGCCTGCTCACAGAGTGATGCTTAGTTATTGTTATACTACTTATAGTCCCGGGTAAAAGTTTAGGCCAAAGCTGAATTAGTGGACTGTGCTAAACTGGACATTTGAGAACAAAGCATGAATATTTTTAACCAAACAACAGGAGAGGATTAAGGACACATGAGAAAATAGTTATTTTTGTTGTTGTTGTTTTTTTAATTCTGTTATTTTTTGCGCATTTGTGAGGAAAAAAATAATTGCATTATGGCCGTAACTGTCTTCCGTACAAATTTACGACCAAACAGCAAAAAAAAGTTTAAATACCAAGTAACAGATTAATTTTTTATGACAGATTGCAGATTTATGAAAAAAAGTGTTTTTAATTTAATTATCAGCACAATTTGTTGATACTTAGGCAAATATAGTATTTCTTTTAGCACTTCTTGTGTAATCCATCAACTACAGTCAGGGGTGCCAGTTTTATCCTCTTGAGTACCCAGGTTTTTCCCTTTTCAATTCCCCTACCTATTTAGGAATAGAACGTCATAAAAATAAAAACAAACATTGATTTTTTTAACAATTAATAGTTTAAAACATTAAATTATATTTATTTTATCTAAAACAAAAAACTAAAATAAAATGTAGCTCCTCTGAATAAGGACAACCAGTCTAAAACCAATGTTCTCAAATAAAGATGGAGGTTCTCAGGAGGTTATATTCATAGATTTTTTTAAATTAAATATTAATTAAATAATTATAATAAAAATAAAATAAGGCAGTACAGTGGCACAGTTGGTAGAGCAACATATTGCCGCTAAGGAAGAAGGTTGCTAGTTCAACTTTCTGGGTTGTGTTTACATGTTCTCCCTGTGCAGGAGTGGGTTTTCTCCAAGTACTCCAGTTTTCTTTCACAGACCAAAATCATATTTATTAAAACTAATATGACATAAGAAAGAAAATAACTTAATAGTTTGGGTTAATTCTACAGTAGATGTAGTTTATAATTGTGTTTGTTTTAGTCTTTATTCCCAGTTTGGGGTTTTTATAATTACAGTTTTTCTTCACAAACGTAAACATCAACAAGCAAATAAAACTTTTAACAAACAAAGAGGTGATGGCTTTAAAATTTAAAAAGCTTGTTCCTTGTAAATGCCTTTAAATTATATATTTTGACATTTTTAAATAAAATGACACATCACAGCAATCATTTTTGAAGGGAAGTGTCCCCATCATATTTAAAGTTTAATTCATTTGAACCCCCACATTTACCGTAAAATATTAGTTCACCCAGTGTTTCTCTTGCTGAACAAATACATTTATTCCACTTGACCTATAGAATACTCACATCAAGTGTTTTCCTATGTAAATAAGTTTGTTCAACAACCTGTTAAAATACATCAGAATGCAGGAAATAGCATTAACTTCTTTCAAAGTTTTCTGGGGGGAGGACCCCCAGACCCATCACCAGTGGGTCCCCACCAACACTACAAATACTTCTGATGCCACAGAAATATGCCAGTTTAAGGACAATTTATGGTACTCCATGTGTAAAGATACAGAACACAGTAAAAATGGACTGCAGCAGAAGAGCAGATAGTTTGGTTCTTGTTTTTGTATCTGAACGTCACAAAATCAGTAATATTATCCATAAATTTACAAACTGAACATCTGTTGGCACATCCATAGCTTTATATTGCCGTAGTTTTCAATTTGTCATTTTTACAACCGCATCATAAAATTTCTGTAATGGATATTAGTTTTGGTGTGCCACCCCTGGTTTTTCAGTGGCCCCCATGAATAAAATCTTCTGCAGGCGCCACTGACTACAGTTTCATATGTTTTACTTTGAAATTTTTTTTTTTTTTAGGAAAAGTGAAATGTTACCATTACAGTTTCATAAATCATGTTTTCGGTGAAATACTGTATGTCACAAAGACTTACAAGAAAAATGGCATTTTTATATGTAAAATTATGCAAGTGTTTATTTAAAAGAATTTTAAAAAACAGTTTTATATTAAATGTTAACAAAGTAGACATTTTGATTTTGGCACCACAATTTTCAGCAAGATTAAATCAAATTAATTTCTGTGTTTGACAAAAGCAGTCTGTCTAAATGTGCTGGAAAACATTTCTCAAGTTGTCCACCCCCCCCCCAGGGCAGTGTGGAAAACCCCGGCATTAACCAGCGAGCTCTGAAGCATCTGTTCAGTGAGATCGAGGAGAGGAAGGACATGTGGTCGTACACGGTGACAGTCAGCTCTGTGGAGATCTACAACGAGGTGCTGAGGTACACCTGCTCCAGGAAACCTTCTCACATTACACCTCATTTTTTTGCTACTAGATGAGGATTTTTTTGTTGTTTTGTTTTTCAGAGACCTTCTGAGTAAAGACGGGGAGAAACTGGACATAAAGATCCACCCCGATGGAACGGGACACCTGCATGTTCCTGGCCTCAGAGTTATAGAAGTTAAAAGCTTTCAGCACATCAAGAAGGTGATGTGAGTTTCTACTGTCTTATCAGCCGTACGGGGAAAAAAAAGTTTATTTCACTTAATTATTTTTAAATGCAGATTTTGGCCACAGCTCGAAGGAACAGGATCACCTTTGGGACTCAGATGAACCAGCACAGCTCGCGCTCCCATGCTCTGCTGTGCATCACCGTTCAGGGTACTGACCTCGCCACCGGCTCCAAAACCACAGGTTCATCTTCCTCTGTTTTTTTTGTTTGTTTTGTTTTTTTTTTTTTTGTTTGTTTTTTGAGCATTTATCATCCAGGACTCTAGGAAAACTGATTGCTCCTTGGCTGTGCAGGGAAGCTGAACCTGGTGGACTTGGCGGGCTCAGAGAGGGTCTGGAAGTCCGGAGCAGAGGGAGACAGGCTGAAGGAGGCCCAGAACATCAACCGCTCCCTGCTGGCGCTGGGCGACGTCATCCAGGCTCTCCGGGCTCGGCAGACCCACATCCCCTTCAGGAACTCTCGCCTCACATACTTGTTGCAGGACTCTCTGGGCAAAGGCAGCAAGACCGTCATGGTGGTGCAGGTGAGCTTGCATCCCCCCCATCAGCTGCTACAAAATCAGGGGCGGTTCTAGGGGCGGGGCCACAGGGGCATTGGCCGCAGCTGAAATCTGATTGGCCCCCAGAAGTGCCACTCATCTATCCTTTACCTGGGAGTGATTATGGTGGATGCAGTTCCATGTTCAAACACTAGTTGCGCTAATGAGTCAAAAAGTAAAGTCCAGAATGAAACAAGCTGACAGAATTCTTCTTCTCTTAAGAAAATTTGAACAATCCTGCAAAAAAAGTCTTTCATCTGACAAATCATGGCTGGATTTTCCCACGTTGTGTCTGAGAATATTTTATCTATGTTCAGTAAAATATATGAAAAACTGGTGAGGAGAACTTACTGTGTAAGATTTTTTTGGTACCACTTTACCACTTTAGGCTCCCCTTATAGATGACTTATAAAGAGGTTATAGATAGATTACTAATTCATCTGTAAACACTTAATAAATCATTAATAAATGTTTATTGTGCAATAATTAAGGATGAGAAAGATAAAACTGTCTTAGTTTCTTACCAAATAATGAGACAAATCTGTTCACATACATATTACATCTAAAGGTGCTTATTAAACATTTAACACTAAGTTACTACATCGTAAGTACAATAACAATAAGAAACACATATTTTATTATATTAATATTGTATTACTGCATTATAAATATCCACAAATGTCAATGGGAGACTTATCGTAAAGTGTAATACAGTACACTATTTATTAATGACAAATAAACATTTATAAGTGCCAAAAGTTTTAAAACTTAGTGTTGATTATAAATATTTGAAATTATTGTTCAAACATGTAACTATTGTCAACAATGATGATGTATCAAAAAAGTAAAAAAAAAAAGTCATGTTAACACACCAAATAATCCCACCCCATCCAAAACAGTGTACAGTTTCACACTTTATAATAAGGATCCCTTTAATATTTGTGGATATTTATAACGCAGTAATACAGTACAATATTATATGTTAAAATATGTGCTTCCTAATCATTATTGTGCTTACAAGGTAGTAAACTAGTCTGAAAAGTTTAATACACAAACAGATTTGGCTCAGTATTTGGAAAGAAACCAGACAGTTTAATATCTTTTTTTGTCCTTTATTAATGTATAACACTTATTAATAATTTACAGTTTATAAACTCTTTAAAAGCCATCTATAAGGGAAGCCTTGTAAAGTGGTATCTTTTTTAAAAAAATTACAAGTGTTTGAACGTGTATGACTGGTTAAATTTATAAAACTTACCTAAACTGAGGATTTGTGTGAAAGGATGTGGAACAAAGACTTGGCCCCTCTATGAATATTGGGACCCCTTGATGGCCCCTTACTCAGAAAAATCCTCGACCCGCCACTGTACAAAATAAAAATAAAGCCAGTCCTTTTATTTTGAGCCTGATTTTTGTTCCCATGTGTCCCCCTGAAGGTGTCTGCTCTGGACAGTAACGTGGGCGAGACGCTGTGCTCTCTGAAGTTTGCTCAGAGGGTTTGCAAGGTGGAGCTGGGTCCTGCAGCCAGGAAGATAGAATCCGGCGGAGGACAGTGTGACTGAAAATCATCAAGAAGATGGATTCTTCTACAGCGAAGATAACGACAAGGTCAGCTGCAATCCTGACCAAGGGCTAAAAACAGAACCTCTTCACCATCAGAACCCTTTATCAACAATCTGCATGTTGCAGTATTTATTCTTCCACTCCGAGTGTCAACACAACTTCTGACACCGTTTGATGCTTCCTCCAATCACAGTCAGATTCATTTAACAGGAGAGCTTCTCACATCCTCAGAGATCATCAGCACTTTAGTTCATGCAGTATTCTATTAATGTCTGTTGTTAGTGAGCCTCCCTGCCTGTGTGACGTGCATTTAGAGGTCGTAGTTGTATCTGTGCTGCATAATTCTGTAGTTCTCGTCATGTTAGGCAGCCGTGGCTGAATGCTCAGTTTCTCTTGAGTCTTTTGAGGACAGACCGGATGTAAGGAACTGTGCAGAGGGTTGGTCCTTTGTAGACTAAAGATGCACTTTATTGTGAAAGAACAGGAGCATTTCAGTTCATATGATTGCCATATAAGTCACCGGTGAATGTCAAAACCAAATCCAGTTTATTGCTCACGTCCGTTTTATTTTTGCCTCAATGACTCAAAACCAGCTTTTGTATGGAATAAATCTTGTGCCAGCAGGAAGTGAATTTGAATTGCTCAGATTGAATCTGTATGTGCATAATTTGAAATTGAATGCATTGGTTTGAAACTGAATTTATTGTTCTGAACTAATTTGCTTTGAAACTGTATTTTGTTTTATTTAAAAATTTAATTTGACTACTTTCACTTTCGGTTCCAAAATTCAGATTTTTGTGTCACATCGTGGTCCTTGAGAAAGCCAGGCAGAGTAATCAAACACAGATCCACAGATTTATGTTTCACTTTGGTGAAGTTTCCCTTCTGTATCTAACAGAGTTGATGCAATCCACTGTAAAAGTGACAAAAACAGACAAAAGTTATTTTATTGCAGTGATTAATTTGACCTAAAGAAAATGTTACATTTACATCACATCATGGATATATTCAGCAGCAGCATCTGATCAATATGTGATGTAAATGTAACATTTTCTACATATAGGTAAAAATAATCACTGTAATAAAATAACTTTGTTTTTGTCACTTTTACAGTGGATTGCATCAACTCTGTTACATACAGAAGGGAAACTTCACTAAAGTGAAACATAAATCTGTGGATCTGTGTTTGATTACTCTGSCTGGCTTTCTCAAGGACCAGGATGTGACACAAAAATCTGAATTTTGGAACTGAAAGTGAAAGTAGTCAAACTGAATTTTTAATAAACCAAAATACAGTTTCAAAGCAAATTAATTCAGATACAAAACTTTAAATTCAGTTTCAATTTAGTAAAATTCATTTGCAAATCAATGCATTTAGTTTAAAATTATGCACATTCAGATTCAATCTGAGCAATTCAAATTCAGTTCCCGCTGGCACAAAAATTATCCTATACTTTTGATTCTAATGTAGCAGAATATAACGTTGCTGTAACCAGAGCGAGTGCTTAAATGGTTATTAGAAAGTAAATTTCAGCTTATTTTCTGAATAAATATTGATTTTAAACATGTCAGGTTTTTTTGTTTGTTTTTCCACTTCAGAAATGTTGAAAATGTAGCAGAAACATAACTGTTCTGAACTTTAATTTTTATTGTTCGTCTCATCTTGTTACATTGATCTGAATAGGTGATCAAAACATATTGAATGAAAAATATTTTTAATCTAACATCTCCCATCTTTAGTTGAAATAAAGTCAACAATTAGTATTTAAAAATGCATTATTTTAATTTATTTATAATAAAAAACAAAACTTTTTACAGGATGTATGTAATAACTGACAGAATCATAACGAAACCAGCTGCCTCCTTAAATAGTTTTCAGTCCGAGTCTCCCTGCTCCACTCCGACTGCTCCCACCACTCCAGCCAGCTCCTCCTCGCTGCCTCGCAGACGATCGCCTGGACAGAGAAACACAAACCGACCCGCTGCAGTCATTTACAACACCCTTCATAAGTTCAAACTGACAATCCAGATCTTTGGAAGTAAGGAAAGGTTGTGAACAGTTAATATCTTACCTGTTTTAGATACCTCTTTGAACAAGCATAATTTGGTGAAACTGAGCTGAATTCTGACCAGACTGATGAGCTGATGTCCGAGTTGGTCGAAGACCAAAGTGAATCTTAAAACTCTGATCTCAGAAACTTCATATGAAGACTCAGACTAGCCGTTAGCTCATCAGTCTGGTCGTTTTTAAATTAAGTTTCAATTTAAGTTGTACAGAGAGCTATCTACAACAGGTAAGATATTAATTGTTCATAAGCTTTCCATAAACCTCACTTCTAAATATCCTATCACTGCTTTAAGATTTGTGTAAAAAAGGGCCGTTGTTGGTAAATCCTACTTATTAATCTAAACAAAGGTCGTAACTCAAGCCCCGATTCTATTATTGATTTTAAACTAAATTGTAGCCATTTTGTAACCAAATATTTTTCTTTTAACAGCATTTTTTTACCTTAAACTGTAATCTTAGTACCCACTCCATTTCAAGTTAAATGTATCTATATTATTATTATTATTATTAATACTAATTGTTGCTCGAAAAAGGAGTAAGCTTTTTTGTCTTATTTTGTTAATTGAAGATTTATACATATTTAAACCATTATTTAATTATTATTGTTGAATTTAAAGTTATTTTTGAAAATGGGGGCAGATATGATTTTTTCTTCTGCTACCTTTCATTTCATTTTATAATTTTTTTTCCATTTTATGTATTTTTGAAAGTATTTTGTTTTAAATTAAATGAATAAACTAAACTAAATTAGTAAAATATAACTTAAAAATGAATAAAAATATCACAAACCCCTCTGTGATCAAAGATTATCAAGTATCAAACTGAATTTGTCTTAAAGACATAACTTACAATATACAATAGCAATGAAATTGATTCATTAACTTTTATGAATCGACTCATATTTTAAGCAGTTATAATGCTGCGTTCACACCGAACATGATTTCAGCATCAAAATCACAGCCAACGCTTCAAGTTGGTCACTTGTGCACTTTGAGTTCAGACGCAGGTCAGCTCTTGAAGCGCTGCACGGGAAGAGCCTCCCCGCCCCTCCCTCCTCTGTCGGGCTCTGTTTAATGTTGGACGAGGAAGTAGCTTTGCTTTATTTACAGAGAGCAAGAGCATGTCACGTTCATCAGACAATTAATCCATAATTAATTCACCAGATAATTCAGAGACATTCTGAGTTTCATCACCCAGGAGCTGCGGGAGAGGCTCACAAATCGCTTTCAGGACTATTTTTGTCCCGAGTCCAGTCTGATGAGCTGCTGCCACGCATTGGTGCAGATATCTCCTGTCAGGACACCGACTGCAGGCACTCGATTTCAGYTAAAGAGCTCCTCTCCATCTGTTTCAGGTTAGTGGACATCATTCAGTAAACTGTCCCGTCGGGAAATATGTCACTACGTCACACAGTGGAGTCTCTCTGATTGGTTGACGCAGTGCGTCGAGCTGCAAAAGTTCAGATTTTCTAACTTCAGCGATTTGTGCATCAAACATGTCGAACGCTCAGATTGTTCAAATCGCGCTGCTCTAATCGCGCTTGAGGCGCCGCAGCACTTCCCGACGCTGATTGAAGCGCGTCCACCATAGACTTTGCATGTAAACCTGATGATCCTGATGCTGAAATCGCGTTCGGTGTGAACGCACCATAATAGATTCTTAATTGTTACATCACTAATTCTAACCTTAAATAAATATAAATAAATTCCTTGTAAAGCAGAATAGATTCTAACAAGAAATGTGCAAATATAGTCAACTGATGTGTTCAACATAAAAAGCAGCTACAATTCAAATAAACTCAAAAAACGACAGCATCTTAACTCAAAGTTTAGCATTAAATATTTTCACAGCTTAGAACATACTTTGTATGCAGCCAACACTTTCAAATACAGGTTTTTATCTCTTCGAAAACATGGGAAACCTGCCATTACAGCTTTGTATTCCCCTGAAACCTTCGACCTATTTTTAAAGTATAAATCATCCATCACTTCAGGAATGGTGTGGCTTTCAGCCTCCTTTGAGCCAGAGAGGCTTCAGAGCAATTATCCTCCTAATTCACGCCCGTCTGAAGCACCGGCGTCTCCGTGACCCGAGGAGCAGTTTGTGCTCGGGTGTGAGAACGAACGCGAAGCAGCAGAAATACTAACGGATGAGCTCGGCGATGGCTCTCTGTGTTCGCCTCTCCAGCTTCTCCAGCTTCTTTGCCACGTCACGCTTTAGGTCCCTGCGTTGAGGATTAAAATGTGAAGTCAGGTTCTAGAATAATAATGTCAAGCAGAACTGGTGGGAAAGAAAAAAACAACAACTCACCAGTCTGGTTTCCTTGGGGCAAGATTGGCCAAATCCTGCAGACAGAAAACAGCTGAATGAGACACAAAACTTCAAAATCAGAAATTAAATTAAATTAAATTAAAAACGGGAAGGAGTTCTCACCACTTCTTCAATGACGGGCTCTGGATTAGCTGCTTCCAACTGATCTTTTACTTTATCTTCCACTGCAACCAAAAACACAAACATGATCTGTGAGAAGAAAGCAGCTTTAAAAAAACAGCACTTCAGCTACTAAAATCAAATGTTCTCACCTGATGCAGGTTTGACTTTGGGCACCTGCCTCACCTTCAGTTCTTCATCCTCTGGAGTATAATTCCTTAATCTCAAATCTCTGCAGACACAAATAATTAAAACAGTTCACATCCCAAACAAGGTTATAATAGTTTGGGATTTTTCATTATAGTTTAGTTTTATTTCGTTGTGACTTTTTTTATTTTAATTCAGTTTTAATTTGTTTTTACAGTGGATTTGC